CTGTGGTTCCCCTGATGTGTGCGCGCTACGGTGTGAGGGCCCCTTCAGACCAGAGCCTTCCATGGGCGGCTGGCATGAGCTCCTGCCCGTGCGTGTTTAGCATCCCCTCGCCCAGCTGAGACGCTGCCCTTTCTGCACAGCCGCCTTGTGTTGGGGTTAAAGCTAACCTGAAGCCTGATTGTTCACAGGGCGCTGACAGGCCCCTTGCAGAATACCAGCCCTCAAGGCAAAGCTTTTGGGTGACACTTGGCTCCCCATCCTCTTGGTGGAGGCAAAAGCCGGAGGCTGACTCCCAGCAAGCCGCCTCAGCCGGGCCTCTGGGTCTCCAAAAACTCTGAGGCTTTTTGTTAGCTGCTTTTTTGAAGTCGTGGGAGACTTGTGTTTGGAAATAATGCCCTTATTTTGTGAATGAATACTCCTTTGAGGTCAGTGTTGTTCCCTGACTTGGTTCTGCTTCCGAAGGGCTACCCGCTTCAGTTCTCATCTGCCCCCCCACACCCTGTGTGCCATCCTCCCCAGAAGGCAGCAGAGTGCTCCCCCTGAGCCCTGGCTCCCGCTGCCTCCATGCCTGGGCCAGAAACACGCAGGTCCCACTCCATATGGCAAGGTAAAGCTTGTTGGCAGTGCTGTGTGGTCATCTCTGTGCCTTGCTCTGTGCACCCCTGAGGAGTTGTGCACCCTGTTTGAAGCAGCACAGGCCCTTCCTTCCTTCCTTCCTCGCACAGGCCGTTTCATCCCCTCGGCCCACAACCACAGCACAATCCACGACTGCTATTTATGAGGCTCGTTTGAGGCTGAAGAGGATAGCACCCAGGACTGCCCTTGTTCCCTGACCTTAAACATGACCCATGGCCTCAGCCTCATTGGCGAGTGGTGTGGAGGGACTTCCCACATCGGTTTGGAAAGGGCTGGAAGGGGTTGCCCCTGAAGCTAGCCTGGTTCTGGGGCAGAACTCCAGGGCAAGGCAAGGCTTCCAGGACCAGTCTCAGCGACGAAGAACCAGATGCACGGGGTTTGGGGAGTCCCAAAGGGAAGACTCATCCATCCCATCATGTACGTTCCTAAAACTTCAACATTTGATAAACAAACTGCAGGTAAAGTCAGCTGTTGAGCTTTTGTGCAGGGTTGTGAGGTGAAGCCTTGGCTCTAGGTTTATAGCCTTTGTTACCTACAGCTGTCCCCCACTACAGGCCTTCCTTGTCTTTGTGCGTTTTATTTCCTGTCATTCATGTGTTTTTTACACAGTCTCCTGCATTCCGCCTTACTTATTCAACAGTACCTCTCGACAGTCCCTCCACGTCCGCTCTTGTGGCTCCAAGTCTTTTTTTCCCAATATTTCTCTTGTGGTAGGACACGTAACGTAAAACTCACCATCGTAACCATTTTTAAGCCTGTTTCACGGAGCCTGGAGCACAATCACAGTCACAGTCCCACTGTGCAACCGTCAGCACGTTCCGTCTCTAGAATTCACTCATCTTTCCAAACTGATCCTCTGTCCCCATGGAACACTCACCCTCCCATTCCCTCCCAGCCCCCTCGGGACTTCAGGGGAGTGGGATCCTACGGCACCTGCCTTTTGTGCCTGCCTGATTTCACTCCACAGCGGCTGCTGGAGGTTTCTCCGCATCGTAGGGGATGCCAGAACGTCCTTCCTCTTGGGAGCCGTGCGATACGCCGCCATACGTGTGTACGCCACGCTGTTACCCCTTTGTCCTCCCGGGCACACTGGGGTGTGTCTGCCTGTTGGCTGGTGCGGATCATGCCACCGTGAGCAAAGCCTCACAAGTACCACTTGGAGACCCTGTTTCCAGTCCTTCTGACTGTAGACCCAGAAGTGGAATTGTTGGGCCATGTGGTCATTTTATGTGGTTATTCAAGTTTCCATTTTGGGGGGAACCTCCTTACTGTTGCTTACTGTTTTCCGCAGTGGCGGTACCAGTTTGCGTTCCCGTTGGTCGGGACAGAGGGTTCCAGTTTCTCCCTGTCTTGGCCAATACTTACCTTCTGGGCTGGTTTTTGTTTCATTGAAGATTTTATTTATTTTTTTCTAAGTAGGACTCGAACTCATAACCCTGAGATCAGGAGTCGCACCCTGCACTGACCGAGCCAGCCGAGCCCCTGTTTTGTCTTGTTAGTTTTTGGCTGGAGCCATCCGAATGGGCGTGAGCTAGTACTTCCCTGAGTTTCCCCGATGAGTGGTGTGGAGCATCTTTTCATGTGCGTTAGGGGCTGTTTGCCTGTCTTCAGGGAGATGTCCGTTCAAGTTGTTGCCTTGAACTGGGTTGTTGGATGTTATTTTTCTTTTGAGTATTAGGAGTTCTCCATTTATTCTGGATATTAAGCCCTCATTAGTTACATGATTTGCAAACATTTTTCTCCCATTCTAGGGAAATCTCCCCTGTGGATAGTGCCCTTTGATGCCCAGAAGTTTCTAATTTTCATGAAGTCCAATTGGTTAATTCTTTTTCTTCCATTGTTAATGCCTTAATTTTTTTTTATTGCTGTGTATCTTTTATGAAAGGAAAAATGTTTTTTTCTCATAGTAAAAACAAGTCAGTGCTCGGTATAAACAAAAACAACTTTAAATACAGAAAGCCATGAAGCAGTAAGTCAGAATCACCCAGATGCCCACCGCCTGGGGGTGCTAGCTGATGCTGTCTTGGGGCCGGTGCTGGTGGTGGGGCCCTCTTCCCTGTGTGCCATCCGTGCTTGCCTGATAGCCAGCCCCTGACCCGGGAATGTTCCCTACAATGACCCACAGCCCACTGAGTGGTCTAGTCTGATGCAGGTTAGGAGCCTCATTATAAATAAGTTAGTTGACTTGCTGTTTACAACATAAGCCATAGATTCACTGCGTGGATGAGAAGAGCCAGATAGGGGGGCTGCCGGCGTGAATTGCTGCTGGCCCAGGGCCAGGCTGTGAGACATTTGGGGCCAGAACGGGGCTCCTCCTCAGCCGGGGTGCTTCTCCGTGCCCAGTCATACTTCCGTAGGTTATTTATGGACTAAGAACAAAACTGTAGAGTGTGAGTGTATTAAAGGCTAAAAGATGGTAGTGTTTGGTGCTAATCCACCAAATAAGGAAAAAGTCAGAGCGACTTTAAATGGTTCCCGGTTAAGAGAAGACAAGCTTTCTTTGCACTTAGAGAACCACGTTCAGGACAGGTAACAAACATCCGGTGTGCCTGCTCCGCCTCTGTTTCAGGCAGACTCACCCGAGGGGAGCATCAAGGGCTGATTGTAGGCTGACTGGGGCTCACTCGGCTGTGACCTCTGACCCCAGGACAGTGCTTCTATGTCTGTCAGGTCAGAGAACACAGGAAACATGTGCCCGTGTGTGACAGAGAGTCACCTGTCAGCACCTGGACTTCCAAGGAAGCACGGTGTTTCTAAGCCCCTTCTGTTCACCAGCTTGAATTTAGACTAAGAAGAAACTTCGCACATGTGACTTCAGTCCCTGGGGAGAGATGGGAATATGTGGTAGGGGTGTGTGTGTGTGTCCTACCAGGGCCCTGTATGCGAGTGCCTCCTACAGCAGAGTACCATCCAGATCCAGAAGAAGAGCCGTGGGTCTGTATGACCACGTGGATGAGTCTCAAAGCTCGTTGTGTGATTCCATTTATAGAACACTTGAGAAAATGCTAACTAATTTATAGTGACAGAAAGCAGATGAGTGGCTGGAGGGGAGGGATGAGCTGGGGAGAAGGGTGAGACGGGGCAGGCATGAGCTCTGGGGGTTCAGTGGAGGTGTTCCCGCTCTGACCGTGGTGATGGGGTCGTGGGCACACACGCACGTCCACACGCCTCAGATTGTCCCCGTGAAGTTGGTGCAGTTGCTTGTGCGCCACTTCTACCTCCCACAGCAGTTCCGAAGAACGGGGACATTCAACAGCAGAGCCGGGGAGCCTGCGTGGGGCTTGACTTCTGGAGTGAGGCTTAAATCCAGACGCTGATGTGACCCATCTGGGCCTCGGGTCCCTCAGCTGTCGGGGGTCATGCTGCCTCTCCCAAGGCCACATGCAGTGGGCCTGGGGGAAAGGACGTGGGTAGCACACTGCTCCCAGCACCTTGCACTTGGTGGTGAGAGCCCTTTAAAGGTCAGCTCCTAGTAAAAAGATATTACCTGTACGTATCCTGTGATCCTAAAAATAATCGACCATGTCTTTTCTTGCAATTCAGCTGAAGTCATATGTCGTGACTAGTAAAGAGCGTCCGTTTCCCCCAAACTATTGTAGGCCCTGGCGTTTGCCAGTGTACATGTCCTCCTTGCTGGCTGTTCTTGGCATTCTCTGTGCACAAGTGACAACGTGGTCCCTGATGTGTGGTGGTGCCTGTGCCCACAGATGGGACGCAGGGTCTCTGCCCCGTCTCCACAGAGCTTGGGAGTCTTGCTCTGAAAACACAGCTGGAAACCAGGCTCTCAAGCACATGACATTTTCCAGCACGTTTTCCCTTTCCTGCTTTCTCAGCCTTTGGCGAAACTTTTTTTTTTTTTTTTTTTTATATGGTTTCACCTTCATCTCTAGAACTGCTCAGCCTTTTACATCCTCTGGAAGGGATGGTCTGGAAAACTTCCGTGGCCTGTGCTTATGATCTAGCTTTACAGACAGGCTGTGATGTGGTGAGATTATAACCATTCCGGTTCTCCGGACGGCCGTGATGCCCTCAAAGGGCGCTGGCCGACTTCTGGCAGCAGCTGTGTAGGAGACGAGCACTTCTAACTCTGATGTTTTCACAGCACAGTGACTCCCTTCATCCCTGGGCTACAGCCGCGTGGGGTTTTCCTGCACCCCCGGCTGGGTAGCCTTTTCTGTACGGGGGCCTTGAGAGCGCTGGGGGCTCAGGAAGGACTCATGAAGGTGGCAGTGACCAGAATGTCATTTTTTTTTCTCTGTCACTTACCTGTTTCAGCACCTTTCACATAAAGCCCCACACTGCCCTTTGTCTGCCGACCTTTGTACCGTGAGCATGTGTTACTTTCTCCATAAAAAAAACAAAATGAAGTGAGCGTGAACAAAAACTGCACAGGTGGGTGGAGAGCGCTTCCAGACTTCAGCCTCATGAACTTTTAGGTTCATTTAATGAAAATGCATCGGGTCCCAGGTGCATAGTTGAGCATGCACAAGGAATACAGACTCGGAAGGTTCAGACAGGGAGAAGTCAGAGAGCACCCCAAGATGTGCTCTGTCTGAGACTGCTCAGATGCCCGCTGATCCTGACAGAGTTCCCGGTATGTCTGAAAACTGTACACTCTGGCTTTGGGCCCCTTTATGGTCGTGCATCTGTTGTCTCGTTAGGCTGGACCCATGTCTGAGTTCTGTCTTCTGAAGCCACACAGGGTAAGTCTGTTCCCTTCCCACGGGACAGCCCTCCTGCTGATGCGAATCTCTTCTCCAACCAGAGGATCCAACCTCCTCCCCTTCCACAGGTGCTGTGGGGGAACAGACCCTGCGAACCGTCAGAAGCTGGAGGAGAGGCAAGGACCCCACTTGGTCTTAACAAGTGGATTAAGACACATGCCCGTCGAACGGTTCTACGGAGAGGAGGTGAAGGCCGGAGAGAGGGGTACAGATCTTGAACTTTTCCAGAAACCTCAAACTGTCAGGTCACACTCACTGAACACGGGTATGATAACTTGTATTTTACCCTCTACACCCTGCAAGGGGCTGTAAGATGATCCAAGTCCAAAACATGGACCTCAGAACAGAGAGGTGAAGGGGAACGATCTTGCTGGAAGGGATTAGCATCTCGTGGGACTGATGAGCGTGGCCAGCATCCTTCCTTAGAGCTGATGTCCTAGGACTGCACTGGGCACAGGGGCCAGGTGTGGTGGGTCTATAGCTGTAGGCCTGTGTGTTCACAGATTAGTACCACCTTTGCTTTTCTGTCCACCTCATCTTTTTTGCCTTGTATCCAGCTCTGAGGTCTCTGTCCTGTATCATTGGTTCTTTTTGATATAGGTGGATAGTTTGACATCGCAATCCAGCTCTGATTTCCAACCCATCTTTCCAGCTTATTTGTTCATCTTTCTGAATCTAGATTCCGCTCTCAGTCGCTGGCAGGGTGGGCCAGCTCTGCCGGTGGCGTGGGGGACTGCCCCTGGGGAGGAGGTAAACAGACTCACATACTGGGGGATCTGGCAGGGGGCTAGGAGGTACACTGACCCTGGCAGGTGGCCATCAGGAGCTAACCTCCACTGATTAATATGTGACAAATGTTTTCCATCCTGGAGTGGGATGGGAAGCACAGTGCCACCTCCATCTATCCCAGTGATGATGGCCTGGTATGGAGGTGCAGGCCCAGCTCCCCCTGGGTCCTCCTGTTGTAAGGGGAGGGGAGTCCCAAGTGTATCTGTGCTGCTCTGTGCCATCTTCGTCTGCGTTGGTGCCCAGGGGGAAGGTCAGCTCCCTGCCTGGCCCTACTAAACCATGATGGCAGGAGTGGTTTTTCCACTGGTGTCTGGCCTAAGTAGTGCAGGTGTCTCCAAAAAGATGTTCCTACTGTTGGGTCACTGTGAGGTTAGGGACAGTGCTCGAGGCCCTTCTTGCTCTGTGTACCAGTCATAAATGGGGAGTGGGTTCACAAGACCTCCCTCGGGTTGGGTCATTCACTGGAAGAACCTGCGGAGCTCATGGAAATGTGTATTTACCTTTAAGGTTTGTCACAGCAAAGGATTCAGATGACAAGTCAAGGGAAGAGACGCAGAGGGAAGAGTTGTCCCCTCCCGGGAGGTCTGGATAGCACCATCTCCAGCTACCGCTGATGGGTGACAGCGGGTAGAGTGCGCCCCCACGTCTTCATGGGTGACAGCGGGTCAAGTGCTCCCCCCACATCTTTGCCCAAGTCTCTCCTCGGGCTTTGTCATCAAACAGGTTGACTCCCCACATGGCTGACCTTAGTCCCCAGCCCCCAATCACATTGTTAGCCCAAGGCTCCCAGTAAACAAAACCCCTCCCAGGAGGTGCGTGCAGGAGGAGCCTCTTAGGGCAGAGGCCCAGTCCTTTGACAGGGTTCTTTGGCGGCTCTTCCTGGAGCTTTTCTCCTGTACCTGTTGGCTCTTCAGGGTCAGAGGTAGTGCCCTCTGGGATGGGGGACAAGCTCGTCCTTCTGCGGCTCCTCGAGTAGCCAGGTCCTTGGACTGTCCTTTCTGAGCCTTCCTGGGCCTGTTGGTTGTGTCCCATCTCTGGTTCTGTTGTGAGTGGGCAGATTGGTAATGGCGCAGCCCCCTCCAGGTGGAACCAGAAGGGAAACTCGGGGTGGCCCTGTAGGTGGTGATGGCACATCCTCTCATCCTCGGGCTAGCGTCCCAGCACTAGGTCAGACACCGCGCCTTCCCTGTGGTGTCCCTAGCGCTTCTCCAAGTACATGGGACAGAATTGGGGCTCAGCCTGTGTGTCAGACAGGACTGGCCCAAGGATGGGCTCCTCTGGCATTTCTGGAATTGACCTTGACTGTGGTTGAGGACAGCCTTCAGTGGAAGTTGTAAGGGAACCACAAATCCAATGTCCAGCCTGCTTCTCCCCATGCACAAGGGCAGCCGCCTGCCCCGAGCCAGTGGGCCTGCTGGCCGACCTTGCCAGGTTGCCATCCCAGCACCTGCTGACATTCGCAGTTGCCAATCTGCCCTGCCTCCCTTTGCCTTCCCGCCACCCTTTCAGGCAGCCTTTCCCCATCTTCATCCGTGGCTCTGCCATGGTCTCACTCCTCTGTGGGGTTACCAACGGTGCTCTTAGGGCCTGGAAAGCTCTTGCATGGGCCCCCTTTCAGCTGCCCCGTGAACCCTCCCTGTCCCTGCTGTGATCTCCAGTGTGCCCGTCCTTTTCACGTAGAGGGTGACAGAGATGGTGCACAGTGTCCAGCACATGTCAGCCGCACAGAGCGGCCTGTCTTTGATGTGGTTATTTGCATCAAATGTGCACAGCAAAAGGTTTTCCTCAGAAGCTGGGACGTCTTTAGCATTTTTGTAAGTTGTAGCATACATTCAAATTGAACCTTGTGTTTTCATTTTGCTGAGCGCCTTTCCTTCCTCCTCTGCGTTTCCTGCCTATGAGGGTCTGTGTCCCTGCCCGAGCCTGGTCTGTCAGCCCTCCCTTTTCAGTTCAGTGACGAAAGATCTCCAGTGACCTCGCCAGCCACCGCCGGTCCTCTGGGCCCTTCGAAGCAGCACTCAAAGTGGCATTCATCCCCCTATCACACTGAGGGGCTGGGACTCAGCAGAGGTGGCCTTGTAAAACCTAAGTTGTGGAGGATGGAAGTATGAGGGGTGGGGCAGGGACTCGGACCACGAAGGGAGGTCCGAGACATCAGCAAGCACCGTCCATCGGAGTCAGAGTGCAAAGAGGACACTCTAGCTGGACCATAATCTTTAATGTAGCTCTGTGTTACCTTTCCAGGGTCCTGAGTGCAGTGTCCCGTCTCCATGAAGCTGATGTGATAGCATCCAGGTGAAAGGGCCCCCCCCAGCCCTGTCCACGGGCAGGATGACCAAAACCCGGCTCTTCCGCCTGTGGCTGGTCTTGGGGTCTGTCTTCATGGTCTTCCTGATCATCGTGTACTGGGACAACGTGGGCACTGCCCACTTCTACCTGCACACTTCCTTCCCCAGGCCGCACCCCCTGGCGCCACTGCCCACCCCCACGCACGGGGCGGAGAAAGAGTTCACATCTGACGTGGACGCGTTTTTGCAGAAGCTGCTTGGTGGCAGCCTGAAGCAGAATGCCCCTTCGGGTAAAAGGACGGAGCAGCCCTCCGTGCCGGCCTCCAACAGGCCCGTGCTGAGCAACGCGGAGGAGAGTGTGAGGGGCTACGACTGGTCCACCCGTGACGCCGAGCAGGGCCCAGACCCGGGCGGGCAGCAGGCCGAGAGGCGGAGTGTGCTCAGGGGGCTCTGCGCCAATGCCAGCTTCGTGTTCCCCACCAAGGAGCGCTCCTTCGACGACATTCCCAACTACGAGCTCAACCACCTCATCGTGGACGACCGCCACGGGGTCATCTACTGCTACGTGCCCAAGGTGGCCTGCACCAACTGGAAGCGCGTCATGATCGTGCTGAGCGAGAGCCTCCTGGACCGTGGCGCTCCCTACCGTGACCCCCTCGACATCCCCCGGGAGTACGTCCACAACTCCAGCACCCACCTGACTTTCAACAAATTCTGGCGCCGCTACGGCAAGTTCTCCCGCCACCTGATGAAGATCAAGCTGAAGAAGTACACCAAGTTCCTGTTCGTGCGGGACCCCTTCGTGCGCCTCATCTCGGCCTTCCGCAGCAAGTTCCAGCTGGAGAACGAGGAGTTCTACCGCAAGTTCGCGGTGCCCATGCTCAAGATGTACGCCAACCGCAGCGGCCTGCCCACGTCCGTCAGCGAGGCCTTCAGCGCGGGCCTCAAGGTGTCCTTCGCCAACTTCATCCAGTATCTGCTGGACCCGCGCACCGAGAAGCTGGCGCCCTTCAACGAGCACTGGAGGCAGGTGCACCGCCTCTGCCACCCCTGCCAGATCGACTACGACTTTGTGGGGAAGCTGGAGACCCTGGACCAGGACGCCGCCCAGCTCCTGCGGCTCCTCAAGGTGGACAAGCTCCTGCACTTTCCCCCAAGCTACCGGAACAGGACTGCTAGCAGCTGGGAGGAGGACTGGTTCGCCACCATCCCCCTGGCCTGGAGGCAGCAGCTTTATAAACTCTACGAGGCCGACTTTGTCCTCTTTGGCTACCCCAAGCCCGAAAACCTACTTAGAGACTGAAGGCGTCGGGGGCGGTCCCGGACCTCAAAGCCAGCTGGGCGGGTGGGGCTTCTTCCAACCCGGACCAAGGCTCCTGCCGCACCACGGCCTTCCTCCCGAGGATGGGCGAGGGGTTGCCGTGTGTATTTTTTTATGGCTTGTTTCCCTCCCAGTCGGGCCCGTGGTGCAACTCCACAGCGCTCCCGTTGACCAGGCAGCTGGAGACACCTGGAATCGACGGCTCCCACACTCCGGTTTTTCATATCACCTGCGGTTTTGCAGTCTGGACGTACTGTTTATGCCACTGCCTGTATTCCTTGAGTACTGTGTTAATATTGTTTTTTTAAGATTAATATATTTCAGATATTTAATATGAAAAGTGGAGGAGAGGATGGAGTAAAGGTCACATCTGCTTCTGCTGCCTGCTTCCGTGGTAATTCTGGTAGAGCGGCAGGTGCTCGGGAAGGGGCTTCGAGGGATTGGACCTCAGAAGCTCGGGTGAGGGCGGGGAGTTCTCATGGTCACCTTCAGCAAAAAGGAGGAACCTATGCTTGAAATCAAGCCTCACCTGTATTTTTGTTTTTTAAGATTTTATTTATTTATTTGACAGACAGAGATCACAAGTAGGCAGAGAGGCAGGCGGAGAGAGGAGGAAGCAGGCTCCCTGCTGAGCAGAGAACCCGGGGCTTAATCCCAGGTCCCTGGGATCATGACCTGAGCTGAAGGCAGAGAGGCTCAACCCACTGAGCCACCCAGGTGCCCCCTCACCTGTATTTTTAAAAGGGTAGCAGACAGATGCTTCATGAGCCAAAGCTCTCTGACCATGTGTCATCAGTGAGAAGGGAAATCAGTTAGAAAGGGTTTTGTCCTTGAGACCGTACCTCTGGTCGCAGTCACGGAAGCAGGATGTTAGCTGTTCCCATGAGGCTATAAATCATGGACGTGCTGTCACAGGGACAGGATGAGTAGGGGCCTGACCCGAGAATCCGTTTCCTGCCGTCATCAAGGTGAGGCTTGGGTGGGATTGTTGTCAGAGACAGCTGGTTGGCCTCAGCTCCCGTGTGGAGAGTCCCCTTGAGGACGTGACTGACCGTGGGATCCTCACTTTTGGTGGTCCCAACTCCGTAGCAGTGTCCGTGTGGGCCTGTCTAGGAAGGCCCTTTCTGCACATCTGGTTCAGACCTATTTGCAGTTGTGGCTGGGACCCTGTAGTGGGCGGGAAACGTGCAGTCATTCCATGGCGTGTGGGCCTCAGGTGTGACCTCGTCTCCTTAGTGTGTAGCATCTGATCCTCAGGGCCCAAATTTCCGGGGAGCTGGCCGCTCACCGTGATGTCCTCCTGCCAGCTCTCCTTAGTGTCTGGTGTCCTTGCTCTGATGGCTTCACGATGGCACTGAGATTTGAGTCGTGGCCTCTGGGTGCCCGCCTCAGACTCTGGCTTCCTGGGGCCCAAAACCACCCTCTGTCCTTTCTGTAAGTTCCCCTTTTTATAAAACAGTTGACAGTAAAGATGCTCCTACTCGAGGAGTCCCAATTTTAGAGTCACTGAAGAGCCATCACCACGTTGAGGAATCCTGGGATGTAGCTGTCCATGGCACCACAAGCACTGGGCTTCAGGTCAGTAGGCAGATGGGGTAGCTCTGCCTTCGGGGAATCTTGTGACCCTGCTGTGTGAGACGAGAGTGGGGACCCCCAGCCTCAGGCCAGTGGGCCGAAGGCCTTCAAGGACAGAGCGTCAGCGAGCGAGGTGAGGTAAAGGCGGGTGTCCTGAGGAAGGTGGTGCATGAGCCCGGCCTGAAGGATGGGGGGTGGCTCGGATGTCCATGGTAGAGTGTGTGACATCAGCACAGGAGCGGGATGTGTCCGAGACAGGAGGTACTAACCACTGGTGTCCATTGCCAAGCGCCCTCACGTGTCCTTCCCCATCCCCTTGGTCCTGTTCTCTGGTGTGGACGCTGCATGGCAGAGGTCAGGTGGGGCCAGGACTTGGAGCTGGTGGGCTTCACCACCACCGCTGGGATGTGGATGGGCTGTGAGTGGAGTCTGGTGGCCTTGACTGTCAGGCCTAGGAGTTGAGGTCTCACTTAGGCAGCAGCAAGCCGTGGTGGAGGTTTGGGGATGGAGGAATTTGGATTCTTTGGAGTCAGTGTGGCGTTGGGTTGAGTCATGGAGGTGGCCGGGAGGCTGGTCAGCAGGCGACGGCTGCTGCCCTACTCAGAAGGGGCCTGTGCAGGGACAGTGGGGAGACGGACAGACAGGAGGAGGGATGGTATTCTGGAGAGGTTCCCTCCCAAGCTGTTGCTATTCTTGTGTATGACGAAAGAGAAGCAGGGAGAAGTCAGGGGAAAGTCAGAAGAACACAACACAGATCTTTCTTCTGACCTGTAACATCCCCCCACCGATACGTGGTCAAATACGCGTAACATAGAATTTATCTTCTTAACCACTTAAGTATCTGTTTCAGGGGCATTAAAGGCATTCACACCAGTGTACCGCCCCCATGGCCATCAGGCTCTGGAACTTTCTCATCTCTCCCCTGGGTGAAACCCTGCACCCATTCCTCCCTCCCCCCGCCTGGCACCCACCCTCCTGCTCACTGTGTCTGTGACCCTGGCGACTCCAGGGACCTTACAGAGGTGGGATCCTGCAATGTCTGTCCCTTGGGCTCTGGCTTCTGTCACCCAGCATGCTGTCCTCAAGGTCCGTCCCTGGGGTGGCTGGTGGCCGCGTGTCCTTGCTTGTTAAGGCCCAGGGTGTTCCTCGGGATGGATGGGCCACCCCATGGCGTGTGTCCGTTTTCCCACCAAGGAACACTTGACTGCTTCCACCTCTTGGCTGCTGTGAGCAGTGTGGCCATGCTCACAGCTGTGCACAGATCTGTGTGAGTCATGGCTTCCATTTCCTTCGGGTGAGTACCAGAAGTGGGCTGCTGAGTCGCAGTTGACCTGGCATTGGCAAACTGCATCGGGGTGGGGAGACATGCAGATGACGTGTCACGTGGCTAGAGGCGAGCTGGGAGGCTGTCCTGGGGAAGGACAGTATGGGGGACAGTTTCCGATCTCCTTTACGTGTGTTAAGGACACTGTAGATTTCAGTCCTGGGCTGTAATTTTGAGGAACTGGTTTTCATCAGAATGGGCCATCACGTTGAAATCGCAGTTCTAGAACACGTCTTTAGCCGCCATCATCACCGTGGCTCTTGGCATCTGTCTCTCTTGGTAGTTTCTTACTGAAATGTGTTTGTTCCAGGAATGTTCAGACAAACGTCAAAATTCACGGGGTGCTGGCTCACGAAGGGCAGGGCCCAGCTCTGCATTCCTTTATTCGTGGTTCTGCAGGTAGTTACACTGTAGGTCATCTTCCCTGGGTGTTGGGGGGCATGTGTGCAGGGACTGTGGGAGCGGCTTCCTGCGGCGGCCACACACCTGTCCAGATTCCTGTGCTGCCAGCTGGGCCCGACCTCGGGGCCACCTGGGGGACGATGCAGGACGTGATGGCAGAGAGGGTCCTTGTCAACCATTGCCCTCCTTCCACGGGCTGTGGGACGAGAGGGGGCCCCCACCTTGTCCCTCTCTCGGGTGCCTCTTTCCCTGACCCACAGAATTGTGTCCTGTAAAGAAATTATTTTTCTTGTGCTAAGACACTATAAAAATTTTTAAACTGATACTGCAGTTAGCTCATTTAACCAAACGATTCCATAAACCTGACTCTTCGTTTCTGCTTACCTCTCATCTCCCGCCATTGCTGACACATTTGCACACTGTCCTAATAACGCCCTGGTGTGTGGTACAGGATCCTCTCTGCGTTGTCATGGAGGCCCCAGCACGGCCACCAGTGCATTTTGTTTACAGTCGGGGAGAGGGATGTGGGAGAGACTTACCTGATGCCTGAGGCACGCACACGCGCGTATGAGAGACCCCCTCAGTCCTCGTTCTTCTAGAAATGGTATGCGTCTTCATGCATCGATGCAGAGTTCCCACTCCCACTTATGGCTTCTGGTGCACACCTAGGGTGCCTTGTGTTGCTTTTGCCTTCTTTTGAAGGATGTTCCACTAATAGAAGAACTTTAAGTCTGTAAGTCAGATTTTTCACTAATAATAAGTAATAATAATTACTTTCCACTGGGGCGCCTGGGTGGCTTAGTAGATTAAAGCCTCTGCCTTTGTCTCAGGTCATGATCTCAGGGTCCTGGGATCGAGCCCCGCATCGGGCTCTCTGCTCAGCGGGGAGCCTGCTTCCCTTCCTCTCTCTCTGCCTGCCTCTCTGCCTACTACTTGTGATCTTTGTCAAGTAAATAGATAAAATCTTTAAAAAAAAATTACTTTCCACTAAGTAAGATTTTCCACTAATAGAAGAAATTTAAGTTAAATGAGCAAGGGTCACAATCACATTTCCTCTTCCCGGTGCAGTCAGTGTGTACCTGGGTACCGGCCTCCGTATGGTCGTGAAGGTGAGGCTTTCACCCAGCTCTGTCGCTGACGGGGAGCAGTTAGAGGAGCGGGGGCCTGCCTCAGGGCCGCCCACCCCCTAGTGCAGGGCTGTCCCCAACCCGTCAGCAGGCAGCATGTGGCAGGGAGCAGCACGAGCAGGGATTCCCGCCCCTGGGGCGGGACAGGAGCCTGAGACGGGGAGGCAGAAGCCAGGAGGGGCATGGCTGTGCAGCCCGCCTGTCCCGTGAAGCTCCGTTTCAGAGCATGCATGGAGCCCCCTGGGGTTTCCAGAACTGCTGTCCCATGCTTCTATTTGCAGCTGAGTCTCTGCACACAGGCGTGGGCAGGGACAGCTCCGGCTGCAGTCAGAGCCTTCCTCCAGACACCTGCACCTGGGGCAGGGCTCCGCATGCCCGGGTGGTGGTCAGGGAGGGAGAGAGTGAAGGGGTGGGGCCAAGGAGGGCTGCCATCATCCTGTCCAGGTGTTTGTAAGGCTGGTAGAGTTTCAGTAACTGGACTGAGTGGGCTTAGAGTTCACTGCTTCTGCCTTCCGGCACTTCCGGGCTCTGTGGGGTCCAGAAGGGCGGCTTGCCCTGTTCCTGGAGAAGTTAGCTATCCCCCATTTCAGAAAGGAATAGTGTGTCTTCTCTTCCTTCCTGCGTTCTTCTCTCCCCTGAAAGATGCTATGGCTCCCCATCCCTCCTTCCAGAGAGGGTGAGGACTGCCGTGTCCATGCTCAGCTGCAGGAAGGGCCCAGCTTCCTCTCCTTCCCTGCCCTCGTCCCAAGAGGGCTAGAGCGTGGAGTGGAGGATGCAGGCGGGCTGGCTGGCTGGCCCTGGTGGCTGGAGGGCCAGGAGCTCGTGGACCCCGCTGATGTGGGTCCAAGTCCCACGAGTGACGTGTGCATCTGGTGACTGTGCTGGTCACCTTCCCCAGCAGGCCCTTCAGAGCCCCCGGGTACCACTTTGTCTGCACTGTGAGGGGGACCTA